TGTATAAGCACTACCTTATCAAAAAATTGTATAATTTCTTCTTAATTTTTCCTAGATCAGTTTTATTAAGAGTAGTCTAGTTATTAGGCCATTAAATTTTCTTTATCCTGAATTCAGTTTTTGATTCTTTAAAGTAATCTGTAGATTTCTTTTTCCATCAAGACCTTCTGATTGTTAAGTTTATGGATCAAAACATAAACATATGCTTAAAATCTTGAAATTAAATAAGATCTTCAGTCAATCCTTCTTTAGTGTATATAACTGGTTTAGGGATCTACTTTTCTTGTTATCAGTAGGTAGTAATGTGATCCTATCAAGGATAATTTTACTCAATTTCAGATAGAAACCTGATCACAATCTTTATATGGACCATCTTATATTATGGAGATCTTGATTTTTAATATAATACAATGAAAACTATTGACCATCTTGATCTGTATCAGATATATTCAGAAAAATTGATTATATATGATTAAGCCAATGGATGATTTGTCAGATTTTACCTGCTTTTAATTCAGGAAATCATATTAGCCCTCTTGAGGATTTGAATTTGTATCTTGTAATCTAATCTATGGAGTGCTAATCACTGCACTATTGATCCATAGGTTTTAAATTTTATTACAATATATAAATAGTTTAATATATCATTTTATTATTAATAATATTTTTCACAAAGCAAATTCAAAATCAAATGAATATATAGAGAAACTTATAGATATCCTACAATACAATAGAAGAGTATGACTAATTAATTTACTTTTTATACAAACAGCTTTTATAAAAAATAGACAAAAGATGATGAACTTTAAATAGGTTTTGCTTGGGTTTTAATAGAGGATAGCAAAGTTAAAAAACAATTCAAAAACATTGACATAGTCATTAGTAATTAGAGTGAAAATATTGACTATTTTTATTGTACTATTTACTGTTTCTCAAAATACAATAGTCTCAATCTTTACTGATTGTAATATTGCAATTAAGATATAGAAGTCCATCAGTTCACAAATAGAGATATCAATAAGGAGACAAACAAAGATGATCAACTAACAAATATGGAGTAAGATCAAAGATCTAGTAAAAAAAAAAGATCTTATCTTAGAAATTATAAAGATCAAGGCTTATAGGATCAACAAGTTCAATAATCAGATAGACTTACTTGCTAAACAAGCCAGACTTGAGAATCTAATAATCTGAAATCAACTACTAGAGTTAGAAAAAGTCCTTACAATAGTTACATGGAGTAAATATACAATAGAGATTAGTATTAAAGAATTTGTTAAATATTTAATAGGAAAAGAATCAGGAAAAACTAGACTGCACAAAAAAGGATTCAAGAGCTATAGATCCAAAAAGATAAAATAATAAATTGATTAATCTTCTGGAATCAATTCAATCCATCCAACACCTTTGATACCTCCTTTAAAGCTAATAAAGACAAAAGCTTTCTAACTAACTTAACCTATAATGAACTTTCAGTATTGCAGATACTTAAGAAAAGGAAATCAGATATTTACACTATAACAACTTGCCCAGTATGTGAACTTTAAGAAGAGCCATTAGAACATCTTTTCAAATGTCTAGCCATCAAAGAAGCCAGAAAAAGACATATGACAGAAAGCAAAAGAAAAAATTAAGACTGTTGTGTTTTGAGGAGTAGTAAATAGTGCAGTAAGAATAATCAATATTTTTGCCCTAGTTTCATATAGCCATGTCAATACTCCTGCTAAAAATTGTTTTTCAACTTTGCTATTTTCTATTAGGATCCAAACAAAATCCATTCCAAGTTCACCATCTTTTATCCATTTTTTATAGAAGCTGTTTGTATAAAAAGTGAACTGATTAACATACTCCTTCTATTGTATTACCGGATATCTGTAAATTTTTCTATATATTCATCTGATTGGATGGCTTGTCTTATTAGTACAATTTCTTAGTTTTTTACCTGGATTTTCACTTCTACAGATCTGAAAATAGGTGAAGTTGATATCTGTTGCCTTGCAATTATTTGCCAGTCTGTGGGATTGCCTGGCAGAATTTAGAATAATTTATAATAATGATCTGTAGGCAATAATTTTATTAATTAGAGAATTTATCCAAATTAGTAAAAGAATGAAACATTATTTCCTAAGTTGCATCTAGAGAAATAGTTTTTTGATAATGGGTGAGTTAGTATGTAAAAGTCAAAATATCTTGTAAATATTCTTATATATATATAATAAAGACATACCATACTGACCTAACTGTAAGTTAAATATATATATATAACTTTATTTTTTTAATCTTCAATTATATTATAATGACTTATCTTTATTAAGAAATTAAAATAAATTCTATAATAGTTTACAGATTTTCATAAAGTAATTAATTCATTTTTATATATAAGTACTTTAAGTCAGATTTTAATAACAATATTATATTCCTTTAATAAATTAATAATAATTTCTATCTATCAGAATTATTGTTAACAATTTGTTACTACCAATTGATCTAAAAACTAATGAATTGTTAAGTTAAAAAAGGAAATAAAGAAAATTGATTAAAGAAAAGGAACAATTCAAGGTCTATCAAAAAAGTTCAAAAATAAAAATAATCTCTTTTCAAAAGAAATTTGCCTAATTATAATAGTTTTTTTATTTTACTTGAATCTCAGAAAAAAAATTTTTTTTTATTATTTGTGATATTAAACAAATCAATTTAATTGATTTTTTATTTAAATAAATATTAGATTGAAATATCTTAAGAAAAACATTTAAATATTAGTTTTTTTCTATTAAAACTTTGTCATCACTTGAGAAATTTAAATAAGAAACAGGAGTTTGTAATTCACATTATCTATTACTTGATCTTTTAATATCATGAAAGTTTTTATTAGGGGATTTGAACTTTTGTGGGCAACCATTTCTGGAACATTCTTTCCAATTATTAATGGTATTATTAGAATATATAAATATAATTAATAAAAACTTGTTTACATTTCAAAAACTAATATGTTTTATATCAGCCAATCACCTTTGATAAAGATTTGTGCTATTCAAAATTCAGGATTAAACTGAAATAGGCAAAATTTTCTAGAAAACTATGAAAGTAAAAGCTTTAAGAGGATCAAAATAGTTAAAAAGGAAGAAAATAAGTTTTTTTATTACAAAAAACCTTTATAAATCTCTTGCTTCAAAAGTTAGACAGGTCTTTAAGTACTTCAAAAACAATTTTTTTTATTTGAAAACTTTTTTATCATTGATACCAAAGGTATTACTTGATTTTTCTTGATTATTAGAAGTCAAGTTTTTGAGTAATAAGATTTATAAACAAAAGAAAAAGGATAAAAGTAACTCATAAAATTATATTTCAAGTTATTTTAAGTAAAGTATTTAGACTTTATTAGTAAGAAATATAAAAACTTTTTACAAACATCTTTTTTATATGTAATTAAAGGATTAGCAAAAAGAGTTTAAGAGTTACTATAAAATATAACTATATATAATTAAGTCAGATATCAATATTTTTTTATATATAATTTTTATAGATGATTATTTTAATTTCATGATTAAAAGAAGTTATAAATTTTATAATAAATTTGAATTGAAACTTTATTACTTGAATTATTAATTTATAGATTCTAAGTTTAATTTTTTATATTATTTTAAAACAAAGATATTATTTAAAAATCTAATTTATTATATAACAAAAAATATATAAAATTTTTTTAATTAAATACAATTCTTGAAAAATATTATTTTGATATAATATGGTTTAGTTTTTTTTTGAACCATATAAAAAATTTATAAGTATTTATCCATTTTAATTTAATAAAAAATTATTATTTAAAATAAATAAAAAATATTTTTAAAAAAAATTTATTAAAAAATAATAAGTATTTTAAATAATATATAATTTTTTTTTAATTTATAACCAATTTTAAATAATATAAAAGAAAAAATAAAAATAAAAAATAAACAAATTCTTTAACTTTTATTACAAAGGATCTTAAAAATTTGAGTTTTAAAAAAATTAATTATTATTATTAAATTTTTTAATATATATAATATATATTTACGGATATTTTATTTTTATTTTTAATTTATTTTTATATCTAATTTTTTTTGTTATTCAATAACTTGATAAAATAATTAGCAATAATAATTTATTAATAATAATATAAATTGAAAAAATTTTTATTTAGAGTTTTTTATAAAACATTAAATTATTCTCAAGATTAAATTTAAAGACTTTTAATATCTATAATAAGTTAGTTAAATTACAACAATAATTTAATTGTAATATACATTATATTAATTTTGTTTAACTATAAGTTATTTACAAAACAGTATATACTGTATATATATTGTATATATAGAAAAGTATTTATTTCAATGGATTGAAATATAATTTTTATATTAATAACGCAAATTATAATTAACATAAAAATAAGTTTATGATATATGATTTTTTTAATATTTCCACTAATCAACCAATATTTATATAAAAATTTTTTAACCTATTATTTTTTTTCTCAAAATTTGCAATAATTTGAAATATACAGTATATATATATATATATATATATATGTTAAAATATGTTTAAATGATGTATTTAAATATTGACAAACCAAGATTCAAATAACTTCATCATCTCATCATAAAAGACTTAAAATTTTATATTATCTAAACTTTCAACTGATCTAATTGGTAGACGATAATTTCGCCAATTTATCACCTTGAACGCGTTTATTGGTTCCATTTATGTTATAATAGAAGTCACAGAATTGCATTCTCATGTCGAAACAGTCGATAGGTCGTATATCTTTGCATACCGAGCGTTTCGAAGTCATAGAAACTATCACTACCATTTCCTTTCAGTTTTAGGATAGTCCAGAGAGACATTACGTTCTTGCAATCGTTTTTCGGCCTCTTTCAAAGCCCAGGTTTGTATGCTAAATTATAAGAGTAATTAGTAGTGTGACAATAGCCTGATCACAGAATCAAAAAATAATCGAAGCATAGCTACCTAGTGTCGGGTTTATATATAGCGATAACAATGCCTAACAAGAGGCAACCTCCCATCCCATAATACCAGATGTTTTCCCAATCCTCTTTAACACGCTTTTGACCTGGTGGAGGTGGCTACCCAGTTCGAGTTGAAAATTAATTAGAAAAATTGATTTTAATGGGAAATTTTATAACAGTAGATCGTAATAGAATACCTTTTCACCGAATAAATAACCTGAAGGCTCGTTCCATTCAGGCTCATGGTGACCATGATCTCCGTGACCTCCGCTTGCACTCCTTCTTTGTAATTTGAAAAATTGATGTCTCGCACATGGTGTTTTGATTATATTAATATTTCTTTTAAAGAAGAGAGACATTTTTTTCGTTTCGTAAAAATTTTTTCATCTATGAATGAATCGGTAGGAGGTAAATGCTTATTCTAACCTGGTATGTCAATCATTTTACATAATTGGCGGTTTGACGTCAATACGGGCATGGTACTTTTAATGCAATCTAAAAATCTAAAAAAAATTTTTTCCGATAATTAAAACAATGATACACTGTACTGTACATTGAGTTGTAGTCGTACCATCTAACGAAGCTTTTTGTTACTGCATTATAATTATAAGATTGTTATTTAACGAGGGATGTTGTGTAAGTAATAACAATACTATTAATTATTCCATCTATATAAGATTTAAAAATATTTTATTAGGTGATAAACTCTGCTAGTAAATTGAACACGTGCTTAATTGTATCAATCACATTGCAACTGTCAATTGGCAAATAAAAGCATAAAGTTTATCCGAGAAAAAATTTTGTTGGAATATTCTCGTACATTAAGAAGACCTCATGGCATTTAATTTTTTGAAGCCAATATCCTCTTCGCTACTTGCGCCACCACATTTTTAGGGGCCCTTCCCACATCCAAATTCAATTCCTTCATGACTTTTCCTAAATTTTGAATTCCACCCTGGACACCAATTCTTTGAATGACATTCACAACTTCGGTTTCGATTTCTTGTTCAGACATTTGTTGGGGCAGATAGGAGTTCAATATTTCCAATTCTAACTCTTCATTTTCCACGAGATCTGTGCGACCAGCTTGAGAGAATTGGTCAATAGATTCTTTATGGCGTTTAATCGCACGGTTAATAATCAAATAGATATCTTGGTCAGAGGAACCGATATGCGAGGAGTTGGACGAGGATTTGGTTGCATAAGTGATATCCGTAAGAATACTCTTTAATAGATTGACGGTGATGGATAAAGCAAGGAATTAGATATCAGACGGTGACATGTTTCTATAGAAAAAATTTTTTTTTTTTTACCCTGACAACATTTAATCTCACTTGATCTTTATTCTTCAGTGCATGTTTCACGTCATTCTTCAATCTAATTAGAAGAGGGGGAGACCGCTCTGCCCCTATAATTGTTAAAATTATCAATGATCAACCTGATATGGCATATGAAAAGAATGTCCTTTGGAACTACCTTTAATGTCGTCAGCGGTAGAATAATCTCTCGCGGGAGAATAGGTTTTTGTGGGATGGTAACAATTACGTGAAGTTAAAGTTCGGATTTGGGAACTCGAGACCAGGACATTATGAAGGCCGAGTAAACTACGAGTTCCGAAAAAACGTGAAAGCATTGCTCAATTACGTATTGCGAATCACAAGTGATGAAATAGTTTAATGGTTTATCCGTATCATACATGATTTGACCAATTGACGTTAATATTTATCCATACGTAATTATGCAAATCAGGAGGATTTGGTATCAATTACGTATGATCGGCACATTCAAAGGAAAGTTATCCCGACCAAGTTCACGTCAATGGAATGAGGTGACAATAATTGTTTATGTGCGCACGAGATAATTATTTAAACCAACTTCCGGTGCTATTTATAACTTTTCAGTAGCGGTACCTTGCGATTCAAGAAATCCGCGCTTAGCGAAATTGATTTAACACGACCGTGAAACGTACAGTACGGAACGATGTGATGTGGCTTGTCAAATTATTACCATATTCGTTCAGCTTGCGGAACTTCAAATGATTAATTCGCGTAACACGACTGATTCTATTATCTATCAAATCAATACGTGTTCTTTCATTCTATCATACATACAAAAAATACATGTTACAAGGTTTATGGATAGCATTTCTAAAAAAGTTTGTCAAAAGATACTATTCCGACAGTAGTAAGACCGGGTGAGGGATACACGTACGTATGCCTACAATTAGCGTTAAATCTCGCGATATTACGTAAATTACGAGAACAAAGACTGGCAAGTTTCTTAGATGGCATCTAGCATTGATAGTTACGTACACATTCGCAATCGCGCATTTATTGTGAGATACCAATCTGAGCCTCTCACTGAGCCTCTTTCTAACAATAACAGGTGGGGTGAGACTGCACGCGATCCGGTATATCATCTCCAACTGCGCACCAATGCCGCGCGGGATTTTTTTTGTTTGTGCATATCTTCTTATTTCTTTTTTTCTTTTTTGAGCAGATCTATTGTGTGGGTATCACATTCGTGTGCGTAACATTTATTGCTGTGACATCTAAAGAATATCTGAGGGAATATAGAGGATAATCTATTCTCGCCCCAAAAATAAATAAAGCCGAAAACTTGCTGGAATTTGCCACCTCCAACAGGTTTTACCCAGAAAGTTTTTCTAAACGCGTAAAATAGTTACGGTATTTGTTGGAATGTTTTTTTTTTTTTTTGAAGAAAGAATTCCATTCGTCTTTATACAATCGATTCGTTGTGCGAGTGATTCCTAACAAGTTACTAGTATTCGAGACGATCGCACCTTCTCGCGCTCGGACTCCAGATGTTTTACAGTGTATGCACAGTTATCCTAGTGGTACGTAGCGGATTCTCGGATTTTCCAAAATACGTTCTTGGCATTCCTTGCTTTTTTTATCTCCAGGATTTTAGAGAAGAGAGCTGTCGTTATTGGGAAGGAAAGGACGTGAGCATTCTTTATATTGTACGTACGCACGTATCTTTATTAACGCCACAATTGAAAGAAAAATTACATGCAGGAAATTTTGATTATGAATAATCCATTCTGAAACTATTATTACATTGTATTGTAAACTATATACAGCATATAAAATGTTTGGTTTTAGATTTTATAAAAAAAGTTCCGACGATAGACTAAAGTAAATGATTTATATTATCGGCCGGTGTAACATCGGACTGGTACTGCTTTTCCAAATCGATTTATTCGTACAGCAGACCTACAGTTGAACACCCCGTTTTTTTGTTCTGCTTTCAAACTCCCCACACTTCTTAGCCTTTGAACAACCGCCCCTCCGACAACGCTTCTCACCTTTTTTGTTGTTTATTCACTTTCACATTTTATTATTTTCGCGTCACATTGCTTGTTATCGCGTGTCTTATATTCTCCTCCTTTACCAACGCGGGCTATTGTACCGTTATCTAACTTGTATTAGCAGTGAAAGTGTGTTCTCTTGATCTCTTTGCACCTTAGACAATGTTCTCTTTCCCCCCATCAACTTACTCGTAGCAAACCTCTCTCACCTGTTTATGCGAGGTCACCTTACCTTTTTTCTTTTTCCTTTTTTTTTTTTTTTTTTTGTACAATATATTCTTTTTTTTTCTGTAGATACACCAAAAAGGGACACTCTTTTAACCAAATATTGCGTTAAGGAGGAGTGGCTAGTTCCACCACCACCTACATACATAACTAACTATCTATTTAAAACATTCACGATACTGATTTTATTATTCTTATTACTCGATCTCGGAAAACGCTTGACACTTGCAACGTTCGAACGAGGCACCATAAACACGTGTATCAAATACCTTGCGTGTGAAATTTGCTTTTGTTTCTCAATCAATTTTCGAATCAGGAGTTAGATATGGCTTCGGCTCACCTATCACCATTCACCTCAAGCGTGTTCTCAATTCCCGCCATCCCTGAAAATTCCAATCCCGCGTTCCCACTTGCGTTGCCTCTATACACAACGAATAACATTTCAAAAACGATGGAGGCACAAAAAGAGTCGGGGTTTGTTGAAGTTCGAAACGGTATTCTCGAAAATGAGGCAAGCACGAATACTTCGCGGTCACTCCCACGCGTTGTATTTAGCGCACATTTTTCTCCACAAAGAGCTCCCTCGCCTAGTGAGTTCTCGTTAAGCCCGGCATCATATAGCTCGGCGGAGGAGGAAATGGTTGTGCACGAACAAGAGCGGAATGCCATAACCACGCTCGCATCCCTGGCTTTCGTAGCGAGAAACATGAAACAACAGTCTCCCGCGTTTTCAGTGGCAAGCAGTGCTGTATCTAGCCCACCGTCGAGTCCATGCCCTGCCAGTCCACGTCGTTCCTCAAGAAAACCTAAACCAAGCAGACGATCCAAGGAACAAATATTTGGTAAACGGCGATTATCTGGACCTGCTACGCGTCTGAGGAAACATAAACCTACCATGTCCGAGGATGGGGAAAGAGAAGAATATTACCGTGAGCGAACCGCACCAATACCTGAAACCCTTGACGCACCATATACGAGAACCAGACGTCTCCCAATGGCCAATGCGCACGGTGTTGTGGGATGCGGGGGGTATAACCCTGTTCTTCCCAAGAATCCGAATTATCCATTTCCTCCTCCGAAAAATTCCGTTACTTCGAAATGGTCCCCAAACCAACGCAAAGCATTTCTGGCTTTATATTTAACGCACGGGAAAGATTTTTCGTTAATCGGTAAGATGGTGCACAAGACCACGTCCGAGGTGGTGGAATATTATTACTTGTGCAAGCATTCTCCTACTTTTAGGAGTGCCAAGAGCATGAGGAAAGATATGGAAGAATATGAGGATAATCTTAATAAAATTGATGCTCAGGTCAAGGGTTTTGCGAAAGTGGCCCAAGGAAAGAAAGGTGGTCGCAAAAAGAAAGCGATCCGCAATTGAGTTCTCAAGGAAAACGTGTAAGACGCAAAACGATGACTCCCTATCGGGAGAAATTGCATCTCTTACAATAGCAGCAGCGTTCTTCGGCCGATGTGTGAACGTGTGATTAAAAAAAAAAAAAAAAAAACAATAATAATCACATGCATCTATTTCATGAACAAATAGTGCCGACCGGCTTGGCAAAAATTAGCGCTCGACTTTATATCTCTTAATTTTTTTTTTGTATCTTCATATTACCTTTTAGAATTTCTACATTATATTTAATATTAACCGGGCTCCCTTTTTTCTTTTTGGATGATTTATTTAATTTCATTTGATCTTGCCCCCTAATTTTAATATTTTTTTTTTTGTATGTATACTTGTAACTTTTTCTTTCCTAGAACCAGAGGTTCCTCAATATATATAAAGGCCTCCACAGAAAAAACCCATCGTATTTTTTTTTTTTTCGATATAGGCAGAAAAAAAAAAAGAAAGATTCACTCTTTATACACTATTTATATCCTTTCTTTATTTATAGTCATCTTCTCGACATGCTATAGTCTTTTTTTTTGGTGGTGAATTGGTGAATAAAGACATTATATCGAACATAGACTCATAATTTCGCGCCTGTATATTTCTATTTGTTTATACACATTTTATTATTATCATTATTTATCATTGGTCCTTCTTTCTCTTCCACCGTTTAATCACATTCTCAATAAAAAAGAAAAAAAAGAGAGAAAGAAACAAAATTCCATTCGTCAAGAATTATGTCGGGGGGGTGATGAGGTTTATGCGTGATGAAATTGTCACCTTTGATGCTGAATTTATGTTCCGTGTGATTGATCCGAGAGATTCGGACTCGCATAGTCGTCAGGCTTCTCCTTGCGTATCATTTATCAGGGGAAATTGCTTGTTCAATTCAATTGCGCGTATTTTTATTCTTGGATGTTTGCACGGAGCATGATTGTCAAGAATTTTTGCTCTTCAAAAAAAAAAAAACATTAAATGAAAATTCCGGCATCGGAGATCCATTCCGATAATTTAAAATCTTCGGAGAGCATCTTATTCGTCGTGTCACCATGGATCTGTTCCTGTGTCATGCCTTTGTACGAACCTAGGTAATTCTTGGATAGGTGAACGGTCATTTTAAAAGCACAGATCAATACATTTTGCGTCCATTCTCGTCGATTACCTTTGTTGACAACTAGAATTTCCATTTGAAATTGATTTTGACGACCATACTCTATGCTTTGGTGGCTCTGAATATGGAAGAACACAAGGTATTGAATTTCCGTCATGAAAAAATACTGTGCGCACGTGCGGCAATATTTAGGGTCCCTATTGATGGTGTAACACGTGATTAGACACCCTTTTTTAATTTATTACCATATTAGAATAGATGTACCAACTCCAATGAGTTCATCCACTTTCTACCAAAGTCCTCAAATCATCTAAACCGATTTTTTTTTTTTCGCCGGGATTTTTTTTGAACATACTATGCCAGCGGATAGAGCAATGTCTCGTAATCTAAAAAGTTCAGGCAAAGGTTCTAATTCTCGCATTCAAGTTAGTGGGCAGTCACTCCCCCACAACCCTCAACATTCAACCAGTGATTCTCTTAAACAACAACGTAAGAAGCGAAACCAAATTGCTGACCAAGTTCCTCAGTCCCAGCAACCCAGGCAATCAGTGTTCGAGCGACTGGGCACTAAAAACTCTGGAACTGCGCCAATACCGAGATCAGCAAAAACCAGAAAGGAAACCAAAGACCATTCGTCTGGCAAAACCAGGCGTTTCTCAGAATCTCGGCAGGTTGGCATCTTTTTTTAAAGTATAGTTACACATGAAATGGGATCGCTTCATAACATACAACCACTGAATATCTAACGGTTTTTAAAGGCCGAACGTGAGCTGTCTGATGGAGAACTTACGCAAGATATTGGAAAGATAAAGGACCGACAACCCGTTGAAGTTAGGTCTAAGGCAGATGGAGGTTTTAATAAGAGCTCGTCAGAGTATAAAACTGATGACAATACTAAAAGTGGGGTTCATGCTGAAAATCCCGGCGAAAAAAAATATTAAAATTAGGGGGCAAGATCAAATGAAATTAAATAAATCAT